TGTGTCCTGATTGCTGGTACAGGGAGCATTTGTTATGGTTTCACTGAAGATGGCCGGGAAGCCCATGCTGCTGGGGCAGGACCTGTATTAGGTGATTGGGGGAGGTAAAGTTGGTGCGTACTCATTATGTTTCACATATAATTCGTACAGAGATCAATCAGAAAGTGTACGGAAATTTGCCGGACAAGTGATCGAAGGGGCTAAAAGTGGCAAGAAACAGTGCACCAAAAGTGGGGAAATGAAAGTTGGGGACCGTAAGTGAAAACGACCTAGTCATGGGAGCAAAAGTGGAGTATTTTATTTTACTGATATTAAATTGCAATGCTTGTATATGTATGTCTCTATGGATAGGCTTTGTAGTTTTAATTTGAATAAATATCTCTTTCTCAATTTCATTTTATCGTTTAATCGTTGTCATTTCCTAAAACAAAAAATCCAAATGTGTTACTACTCTCTTCTGGTCCTATATGTGTCTCTCTACTCTTGCAGTGGTTATGGCATTGCTGCTAAAGGTTTAACAGCAGTTGTGAGAGCTCATGATGGTCGAGGTGCAGAGACTATGCTCACAAGACACATTTTACAGTGGCTAGGTCTTTCTTCGCCCGAAGAACTCATACGGTATATATCTATTGCCACTTCACAGTTTTAAATTAGTTATTTTATTGGACCCTCGGCTTATAGTAACTCTAGTCTCTAGATCACAAAAGGTCAAAGTTTAACTTAATTCTGATTAATCCTTCTGTTTCGAAACTGATATGCAAGCTTCCCTTGGCTTCCCTTGAAATGAATTGAGTGAAAAGCATTTTCCACCCTTTCGAAGCACAGAGCAGATAGTACACCATCCATCCCATTTTACCTGTCCTACTCTCTCTTCTGGGTTGTCCCATAATAAGTGTCACATTTCCTTTTTTTGGAAAGAAATATATGGTCTACAACATCTCACTTTATTATACTCAAATCCTAATCATAACTTTTACTGTTTCAACAACTTATTAATAATTGTGCCAAATCAAAGTAGGGCACATAAAATGGGACAATGTCAGTAATAAAGACATAAAAGTTAATATTCTTGCGTGTTTGAACCAATTAACCTTGGTGGCCGAGCGCCTAGGCGCCAATTGAGTGGATGAGGTGTCAATTAAGTGTTTGGACTTGGCATCAATTAGGTATATCAGAGTTAATAAGGTAATAAAAAAATCTACATGAAGTAGCTTCCAAGTTTCAACAGGCAGCCTCCCTCCTCTTTGCCAATGGAAATAACACATGCTCTACTCATTGAAGAAGAGGAGGGAAATGCTCTATAGTCTATACTACCGATGTGGAGCCAGAAAAGAACTGAAGGCTCTAACGAAGGTGGAAATGAAAAATATTGCTACCCTTGTGGGATTCTAACAAACGACTACCAAGTAAAAGTAGTGTGCTCTATCAACTTAGTTATTAAGTCAACCATCCATTACTTATATCATTCATCTATAGTACAACTAAGCCAAGTGTTCGATTGTAAATTAGTAATGTACTCTACCATTCATATATGCCATGACAAATACAAATCATCATATGCCACTTTCTTATCGGCATCTAGGTGGACCTATGCAGATTTATCTTGGGCTCGAATTGCCGCAATTGTTCCAGTAGTAGTATCCTGTGCTGAGGATGGTGATGTCGTTGCAAATGAAATTTTAAATAATGCAGTGAATGAGTTGGCTGATAGTGTAAGAGCTGTTGTTCAAAGACTAGGCTTGGCTGGAAAAGGTATATATTTTACTCCATTAGTCCATTTAACACTTTACGTTCATATTAATCAGCAATAATTGATGCGATGGTTTCCCTCAGCCTTCTCGGACCTATCATTTTTCATCTCAGAACTCATATGTTTTGCTCTAAAACTTGTCACTTCTCTAAATGCTCTGTTTTCGCAAGTGATTGTTTTTATCCCAAAACTCGGGCAGCCAAGATTTCAGCTACTCAAATTTGGTGTGAGCTAGGAAAAAAATCATCCATAACAATTTTCATAGCAAAAAACATTCCGGAACCTCGGATGGGTTGGGGTCCTATAACCCTTCAATGTTTGCGCCTGCCCAAATGTATTAGTTTCTAGCTAATATTGATTCTCACACTCATGGTTTAACGCCGCGAGACTGTACCCTGGACTGAGCTCTGTGAGACTACCATGAACTGAGCTCTGTGAGACTACCATGAACTGAGCTCTGTGAGATTACCATAGGCTGAACTCTGTGAGACTGTACCATGGACCGTCTCATGTGAATTTCATGTAAGTAATTACTCTGTAGTATGGAGTATAAGTTTCATGCCTCCTACTCCAGTTTAGTTTCAATTTCAACTTGAGCCAGGGCAATGTTTGCTATGAATTTATATGTACACAACTTCCAGATTGATGATTATGAATGTTACGTCACCTATTTGTGCCCAATTAGCTAGTTATTGACTGTGTAGATCATTATGATGTGGGCAAGTGAAAGTGTGTACTATGGCAATTGCAGATAACAATGATTCTTTCCCACTTGTCATGGTTGGTGGTGTTCTGGAAGCCAACAGGAAATGGAACATAGGGGAGGAAGTTACAAATTCAATTCTAAAGACCTACCCAAGGGCTTCTATTATTCGACCTAAGGTTACTATATTTATGCTTTTGCTTACTTCTGAGTCTTCAACTCTTCATTTATTTGTGTATGAAGGAGAGGCTCATCTTCTTTTGCTTTTCCTGACATGTTTTTGAGAAATGAATTAAGATTGACACTTGAAAGAGACGTCAAAATATTTTAGATAGCTGAATTTGTAGTTTAGTAAAGTTACAAAGATTTTAGAAACACGAACAATTACTACCTCTGTCCTCCAAAAAAGAAAAAGAAAGAAAGAAAAAGAATCATCAGGCAGGATTTACCCTGTAGTGGTTGATGGTTTCCCCATCCTAAAAAACGAAATCATCTTTGATTGAAATACAACTTTTAGATTTCGGTACATTAGAATGGTTATAAAATATAAATCAAAAGTCTGCCACTATTTTTAAAACTTCAGTGTGAGTGTGAAATTACTCACCCCTCGGAAAATTTCATAAAATATAGGAAAAATTGAAAATAATAATCCCAACTATTGCCGGTCCGCTAACAATAATCCCAACTATTGATTATTATTGTATAATCCCAACTATATGTACTGTCCGCCAATAATGGTCAATGACCGCATATTACGTACTCTAACAAGTGAATTTTTAATAGAAATTAAGCGTAAAAATTAAAATTCGGGATTATTTATAGGGATTACCTGCTATATCTCTTTAGATACTATAAGAATTTATTTATAGTCTGTCACCTCGGACCATTATTGGCGGAAGGGTCCTAAAGTTGGGATTATTCTGATATAATCGATAGTTGGGATTATTATGAGCGAACCGCCAGTAGTTGGGATTATTACAATCAATTTTTCCTAAAATATAAGCTTTGTTAGTTGAAACATGACTCTTTTTGGGAAATATTTTTTTCAAATGACTCATGTGTCCTGAAGGTACACTTTGAATCCATCACTTTGCAATGCAATATACAAGGTAGTCTAGATTATGCCTTTGCCCAAGCCTCCTCCTGTTATGGGTATGCCGTGATGTTGTTGTATGAAGATATTTAGTGACTCCTCAGGTTGAGCCTGCAGTAGGTGCAGCTTTTTTGGCTATGGATTTCTTACTCAAAGAAGCCGAAGTTAGTGCTCGCAGGTGACCCCCAATACACGATGTACAGATAGTAATGATAAAAAACTGTATAGCAATTCAATTCTATTGGAGTGGACCAGTGTTTGGACAGTTCTAGTCCAATTCTGCATTTTCTTGTATTACAATTTACTTTAGTGCCTTGCACAGTGTAACCCTTATTGGTCTTATGTTTACTGTTGTTATCCCGTCTTGTTATACTTCACGTTCCTGTCAACCTGATTTTTAGCCAAAAATTGATGTTTGATTGTGTGGGTTGGATTTGTTTATAATGAGAATTGACTAAATTGACCACTTTACGGTTGTACCCTGAGTCCCTGAATAACGTTTTTCGTTTATTTGTTAAGATGGTGCATGTTAAATATTTTAACATCCACTACTAGGACAATTCAGCGAGTAGGATGAGTTCACAGCTTTGGCCTTAATTTCTGAAATTGAGCTATTTTAACATTTCCAAACAGGACAATATTCAGTTTCATACTTTCATAATGTTCAATATCCTATTCTGCGTTACGGAAGGGCTAAAACTGTTAAAACTTGATTTGCTTCCGGCATCTTCTGTTTCACCAATTTCCTTGCTCTAGTGGCGAGAGAGAAATTTAAGCCTCGAGGCTTGAGCCCTTGAGGTTCCGTGTGGGCAAGAGCATCTGACAGGTATGGGTTGGTTGGCGTCGGGTTTAGGGATGGATTGGGATGGGTTGGCTCGATCCGAGACCTAACCCGGTACTGTGCAGGTCCGACCCGAACCGGGGATAGGGGGCGGGCTACGGGACGACGAAAAAGCTAACCGGCCCTAACGGCTAGTTTTGAAAAAAAATTGTTTAAAACTTTAAATGGCTTCGGAGCCTTGTGTGGGGTGGCCAAACGGCTTTGGAGGGGGTCTGGGACTCCGGGGGGTTGGAGGCTGGAGGTAAAAAGCATATATAAATGCTCCTATTTATAAACATTTTTCTACATTCCTATATGTTTTTGGAATTTTTAAGATACCTTATTCATACTTCCTCCGGTTCTTATTAAAGTTCCCACTTTCCTTTTTGAGATGTCCCTTATTTAAGTTCACACTTCCATTTTAGGAAACAAACAGTGCAAAACAGTGTCAAACAGTGTCAAACAGTGTCCAAACAGTGCCAAACAGTGCCAAACAGTGCACTCCATAGTAAAGTCAAATTCATTTTCTTAATATGTGTGAAGTCAAACTAAGAACTTAAATAAGAACCGGAGGAAGTATATGTTTTTGGTTCAAAGTTTTTTTTTTGAATTAGGTCCAATAATGGGTGGATCGGGTAGAAACACTGAATTGATGTTCAACTTGAAAATGTCTACAATACAAACTTATAACCAAATGGTACTTTTTTACATATCCATTAATTAATTATAGAGAAAAGTGTCAAATAGGTCCACCTACTTTAGGCGAAAAGTCAATTGAGTCCATCTACTAATTTTTCAACCAATTGAGTCCACATTGTTTAAAAGAAGAGTCAAATCCGCCTTTTAGCCGGTAGCACGCAGGTTAGCCCGTTTCCCGCTTATGTGGCATCTGACGTGGAAGATGAATAAAAATTATTAAAAAAAAAACCTTTCTCCTCGTCAGCCTTACAAACGAAATGAGTGAAGTTCATCTGCGACTATTTTAGAAAGAACCCTAGCCATTTAGTTCTTATCTTCTTATCTATGGAACGAAAATGGTTGTTGCATCATCATCGACTTCCAGTACGAGAAGAGGATGGAACTTCACTCTCGATTACAAGCCACCAGTGTATTGCTTTTGTGGACTGAAAGCTCCTCTTTGTGTTTCGAGACAAAGTGGGAGTAAGTTCTATGAGTGTCAAAAATGGAAGGTAATTGTTAAGTTTAATTAATTTTCAATATGGGTGTATAAGTTGATAGTAAGTGTTATTATGATGCATTTGGTTAACACTGAATAGGTTCATGGGTGTGGCTATTTTGCCTGGGCGGATAGTATGGAAAGCAGAGGGGTGGCCAACGTTGAAGGGATGAATGAAAATGCAGATGATTTGATGTTCATGATTTCAAGAGTTGGTGAACAATTAAGTGCTCTACAAGGCCAAGTGAATGGTGTGAGAAAGGTACTTCAAGCAGATGCAAAGGATACCAAAATGTTTAGGAACCTTTGTGGAATTGGTTTGGTTATAGTAGTTGGTTTACTGGGAATGGTTTTTTATAAGTTGAGTACTATGTAGTGAGAAACGTTGTGTAATAATGCATTGTACTGGTAATGGTTTTTTGTAAGTTGAGTACTATGTACTAAGTTTACTGGAAAAAGTAGCTGGCTTGTGTACTGGATGTAGTTGAAACATCGTGTAATAATGCAAGAGTATTAATTGATGGACTCCCCTGTTTTTCAAATGGATCTGATGTGTATTCTTTTGTGAAGATGAATGCAGAATATAAATTGATGTGCATATTAAACAAGATGTAAATAGGGACCATAGAATAATAGACCAGAGAAGCTGTGTACAACAGATTTCAATAACACAAACACAACACTGCAATTAGGAACCATGATTAAAAGGGTTCTGTAATGTATACATAAACCAAATACAACATCCCAACAAAAACATCATGTCCAGGAATAAAAGGGTACTGTAATACCCCACTCCCAACTTTGAATCTGGCCTTACATCCATAAAACAACAAAAAAGCATAAAGGCTACTTTAAAGGTCACAACAACCCACTTTAAAGGACACAAAAAGGACAACAACACATGGGCTACACACACACTTTTTATCTTCTTCACGCATCCACACACACTTCATCAGTTCAGCAAAGGCAAAAAATGAGTATCCTTATCATCTTCACGCATCCACACACACACTTTAGCACTTCACTTCATCTCTACCATTTCATGGAGTTCCTCCAACAAGTCTTTCACTTGGCTGTCCTGGCTGCAAACAAGTACAAAAAAAGAGTAAGTGCTTCTAAATATGTAATTTCTTTTAAATTTTACAGATCTGGTAGTATTCACTTACATCCACCAATGTTTCACCAGTGCTAGCATTAAAGTAAACCCCAAAACCTGTCTGTCTTCAGGCCCTTTGCCCTCTCCCTCTCCCCCTCCCTCTCAACCTACCCCCTCTTCCCCTTTCACTTGTTCCATGGCCAACAACTTCACTCTGACTTGCAGAAGCCTCATTTGTTCCAATCCTCCCCCCTTTGGCCTCCACGCCCTAAATTTTTCCTCTTTCCTCTAGATCGATCATTCACACCCCTTGACACAGCTGAATCAGTACCACCTACTCTCCCTCTCCCTCTCCCTCTGGGTTCCCTAGTTGTGGTGTTGTTTGTACAAGAAGATTTGTTGTGATCTTCTACTTGACAATTGGAGCATGTCATGATCCTTCCTTTTCTACTCAGTTTTGTACCCGAAGTAGGTTGTTCACTTTCCTTTCTTATCCTCTTTTTTTGGGCCTGCCAGTCATCTTTTTTGGTAAAGGAGGCATGATTTCTTCATGTTCTGTTCTAGGCCATAAGAGCTCTCCATTTATTGGTTGCAAGGTATAAGAATAAGTCTTCTTATATAGCTCTTTGGAGTATCAATTGTGCACATAGTCTTCTTGAAGGTCCCCTTTATCCAATATGGGACAGATGACATGAGCACAAGGAACACCACTGAGATCCCATCTTCTGCAAGAGCATGTTCTTCTATTCAGGCTCACCTTGAACGGCTATCTTCCATTTTTATCTCGTAACCATCATCACCATTGAAGTCAACATGCCAACCTTGGCTTGCTAAAACATTCCTATTTAGCTTCTGCATAATCATAGGTCCAAATTTCCCTAGCAAGAAATATATAAGTGAAACAGGTTTACAAGTCATACATGGTACAAAATGATTGAAATCTGGAATTAAAAATTTCATACCATGCCACCTTTCCACATATTTCCTTTTCTTTGCTATTCTTTTCATCATACCAACTCTGATATCCTCAAGCATGGGAATCAGTGGCTTACTTCTGCATTTCAGTAGGCTGCTATTGAAAGCCTCAGATAGGTTGTTATCTACTGTATCACACTTAACTTCAGTTCTAAAATAGGCCTTGCACCATAACTTCAATGGGTATTTCCTTAAGTCCTTACCATCTTCAGCATCCGCCTTGTCTACTTCTGATAATGCATCCAGCACCTGCTCTTCACATGTGGACTTCACACACTTTCAAAACAATTTTCTGAACATCATCTCCCTATGTGATTTTCTCCAATTTGCATGTATGTGCCTAGCACAGTTCCTGTGCTCAGCTTCCGAGAAGATATTTGCAATCACATTACACAGACCCTGCATGATATACATGAATGAATCAGTGTACTATAGAATCACATTACACAGACCATGCATGAAAGAAAATAATGAAAGTAGTAGTATGGGGTAGTAATATCCAGATTGCTAATTACCTTTTGTTGATCACTAATTAGAGTCCATAAGTGTGGGCTAGTAATCTCCAAGTCTGTCTTCAATAGGTCTAGAAACCAGGTCCATGAGGAGTTGTTTTCAATTTCAACAACAGCCCACGCTATGGGGTACATCTGATTATTCCCATCCCTCCCAACTACAGTTAATATCTCACCCTTTAGTTGACCTTTCAAGAAGCAACCATCCAACCCTATTACTTTCCTACAACCTTCAATAAATCCTCGTTTGACTGGCCCAAAACACATATAAATGCGTTGAAAAACTAAGGGAGCTTCTGGGACAACTATGACTGTGTGAATCTTTACAGTTGAGCCTGGAATGGACCTCAAACATTCCTCTGCATAATTCCTTAGTTTTTTTAAACTGATCTTTAAAATCCCTTTGTGTTTTTTCTGTATGTCCCTCAAAGCCCTTGCAGCCATACTACCAGAAACATGAATTTTCAGCTCACTCTTAATAAGTCCCTTCAGCTCTACTGCACCCATGCTTGGGTTTTCAAGTACCTTCTCTTCATATTTTTCAGCTATCCATTTCTCACTGACTATTCTTAGCTTGAACCTCAAATTGCATAAATGTTTTGATTCAAGGACCTTGACTTGAAAGCACTTCATCCTAGGTTCCCAACTAGCAATACAATTATAAGGGCATGTTGGGGCACATTTTATCCTAACTCTATCTGCTGTATTTTTCACAAAACGCACATCTCTTTTGTGAAACACAACATACCTTATAATAGCATTCTTGAATTGCCTTGCATCTTCAAAAAGCATTGCCAGCTCAATTAGAGGAGGTTCTGACTCAGGGTTATAGGATTTGTGCACCATGTGTGGCCCTGTAGATTGATTCTCATCTATTTCTTGATCATAAGTGTAGCTTCCTGGGTTAGAAGAATCATATTCTACACTTTCTTCATCCTCATCATCTATTTCTGGGTCATTATCTTCTGGTCTCTGATGCCTTCTATCTGACCCAGATTGCACATCATCTATTTGTGGTTCATTTTGTTCTGGGGCTTTATTCCTTCTATCTGACCCACCTTGCACATCATTGAAGATGTCTTCCACTTCTGTGTCTTCATCAGATGTCACACCCTGATCACTTGCACAATTTTCTTCTTCTTGTTCATGTTCATCATTTTCTTCCATACTGGCATGGTTTTGTTCCTCTGATGTGGATTCATTAGCCTCAGTATGCACTTCATAAAACTCATCAGGCTGCCTATGTGTCTCACTTTGTTTGACATTGGTCTGCATTGATTCTTCTTCCTGGATTTCACCTTGTATATCTCCTTCCACCTCTTTTATAAGGCCCTCACCATTAGGTCCAGGTAAAGGGAGAATCAATTCACACTCATCCAAACCATGCTCTACATATATCTCACACTGCCCACAAGTGGTAGTCATATGTATCAGCTGAATTGTGGACGCATCATCAAATAGGGGCTTCAGGTCATCCATAGGATCACTGGGTGCTTTAAAAAACAGTCCTTTAATATTACCATAGCTTCCACACTTTAAGAACTTCATTAAATGAGGATAACATATCAAGTCCGGATCTATTGGGATACAACCCACTTCTCCACCAATGTACATACTTTGAGGCACACTCACAAAGTTCCCACCATGGTGATTTATTAGCTCAACTTTATCAAACATTTTGTAAAACAGAGAACACAATGCAAAGAAAACACCACAATAAGGCACAACATCATCATTAATCAATCAACATATACATGTTCATAATCATTCATAAACACCCATTACAATACTCAAATACAGAACCATAATTCAAAAAATCCAAAATCAGAGGAAGCATGACACATACGACACTCCACAGAGAAAACCAACAAAGGAATCGTCATAACCTACAACCCTACCAACTTACATGGAATTATTCTCGTTCCAAACGTTTGGTAACTTCCAATTCCGGCTTACACGTGCGATTCAAGAAAACCAGACTGCCATTCCTTCAGCGTCTGCGAACTCTAACAAAGAGAAGACTGATTCCCTAAATTTTAATTCAGTGTAAACGTCTATTAGGTTTAGTGACGAGGAGAAAGGTTTTTTTAAATAATTTTTATTCATCTTCCACGTCAGATGCCACATAAGCGGGAAACGGGCTAACTCGCGTGCTACCGGCTAAAAGGCAGATTTGACTATTCTTTTAAACAATGTGGACTCAATTGGTTGAAAAATTAGTAGATGGACTCAATTGACTTTTTGCCTAAAGTAGATGGACCTATTTGACACTTTTTCCTTAATTACAACTAGTCTATATCTGATCTAATAAAATCTTATAAACATCAATGAAAGTTAGGATATTTTTGGTATATTGAACGTGTTGGTATAACACAACACAATATAAAATTGTACAATATGCTCCCATCATTGCACCAAATGTTTTTACTCATGTTTCATTGTATCGAGTAGTTGGTGTCTACATATAGCATTTAATTTTATTCTTCCCATTTAATAGTTTCATTTGATTTGGAATTTTAAATTCATTCTTTGTGGTTGGTGCCTTAATTGCCGTTTAAGCTATCTAGCATCTATTCCCAAATAATAATGGAAGTTGTTGTACTCTAGAGTTAATTAAGTTGTATGAACGTTTGACCGTTTATTATCATCATATCAATTATTATTATTATTACTATTACTATTATTGTTGATGTTGTTGTTGTTGCTGCTGTGGTCGTGGTTGTGGCTGTTGTTTTTGCTGCTGTTGATGTTGCTATTGCTGTTACTATTACTGTTACTATTACTATTACTATTACACTTTTATCTGGCTGAATATTTGAAATCGAGTGAAATCACACTTAAATTTTTTATCGCTTAGTTATTGTTCATATCAAGACAAAAGTTATACTATTGTTCATCCGCGTTTTTGAAGTTAAAATTCAATATTAAATACCATCTTTTACCAATGAGGATATGACAACTCTCGAGACCGCGGCTTATTTAGTTGACCAAATGATTGAAGGAGTCCTACAATTTCAAAGAGTACGGATCAATTAACATGAGAAGAAGAAACATACTATATCTCAAAATAAAATTATGATTATTCTTTGTTCAAAAATATTATGATTATTCTTCATTCAATTTTAATACAATAACGTTCGACCCTTATTTTCAAAAGATTTTGGGGTTCTCAGATTTAATACAATAACATTCAATTAGGGGTGGACTGGGTCAGGTCGGTCCGACCCGGGACCCGACCCGACCCGACACTGTTGTGGCCCGACCCGACCCAAGACCGGGACTGAGGCCCGAACCGATCGTAAGAAAGGGCGGGCTCCGGGATCCGAAAGAAGAGGACCGGGCCGGGTCAGGGCCCAATTATTTTTTTCCCATTAGAATTAATCCGAAAAGAACAAAAAAAAATTTCCCTACCTGACCCGGCCCGGTACCGGTACAAACCCGGGCCGGAACCGGGTATGAATAATTTGGACCCGGAGCCCGCCCCAGTCCGACCCAGAGCCGGGCCAGACCCAGAGCCCGACCCGACCCGGGCCCAGTCCACCCCTACATTCAACCCTTGTTTTCAAAAGATTTTGGGATTCAATCAGTTTTAATATCAAATAAAAATTCTACAGTTCATATGATTTGTCTTTTTAAGGGCTTTCCACATTTGTTTATTTTGCTGTCTAAATTCACATAAAATTCAAAATAGGAGATAAAAAAGAGAATAAATATAATGACACACTCAAACTACCTTATATAACCTAAACCAAGCAGTAAGTGTGCCAAGGGCTACACATAACGAAATCACAAGAGCAATATATAGTGCCCAACATCATCCTAAATCGTTCTAGCTCCAATCTTAAGAAGCAAGGAAAAAATGAAAGGTATTTGGCAATTGGCAGAGTGGACGAACCGCGGCTAATCTGAATTACGCACCAACTGAACAAATTCCAAAAAATGAATTGATTTAAAAAATTGTGCGATACCCAGTTCCCATTCTGCAAGTAGCGGATCATATTGTGCTTTGTTTTGTGGGTTTTATACACACCAATTTATAGGCTAGATGCTCTTCAATTTTCAATTCCTTAACTCAAACTTCTAACCCTGAAAATTCTGTATTTCAACAGACATGCCCAGATGGCCTAGTTCAAGCTTGGCTCAGCTCATATGCAGTTATGCACCCATAAACATACTGACCCCATAATCCCTTTAAGAGTAAATACGTTGGTGTCAGCAACACAAAATGAATATTTTTTAACCCCGTTTGTCATTACAAACTCATAACTCATAAGCCTTGGCAAATTTTTACCCCAGACATCCCTTCTAAATTCTAATGAGCTGTGTTGACTTAAGATCAAAATGAAATGACATTCGAGCCAATATCACGAGATACTATTGCATTGAGGTATTGCTATAATCAGGTCTCATTACAAAATTAATTAATATTGTGAAATCAACAGCACCTTTGGCAATCTCTTCAAGATGGTCATTTTGAAAGAGACGAGTTTCGCACCTAAAAACGGTCCAGGGATTAAGGCATAATCTGGTGTAAATACAAAAAAAAATTATGATGTTCAAGTTTCAACATCCAGCATTGAATTTCTTCACGTACAGTGACACCTAAGGGGAACAGATACTCCTGGAGGCTTCCTTTTCTCTCGGATGATGGCTTCTTTGATCATGGGTACTTTTTGATGAACCTTCTTCCATATGTAGTTCACTGCACCATCTGCAAGAACGGGACCCACACCACTCTGACCACTGCTGTCATAGTCAAAGATGGGCTGCACCCGAGCCAGGTTTTTACGAAGTTCATCTTTCTGTGCAGTTGAATACCTCGTTAGATGGCTGACAAGCCAGTTTGGTTGGAGTGCGTCACTAACTGCTACAAAGACGGAAAATTCTGAATAATCAATCAGCCCTTCAAATGGGAGCTCGATATCGTCGCTGACAATGACTGGGATACAGAGACTCTGAATGGCATCAAAAAGCCTGCATGAGGTGGGTGTGTCCCCTGCTGGATGCAAGCAGAAGTCAGACGTCCTCATGCCCTTAATCGATTGCTCCTTCCCAGTCGCATTTGGAAAACCTTCTTCCATTATCACTCCAGACTGACTAACCAGCAAGTCCCATAATTTTTCTCGAACGAGACCTCCCTGTAGGTAGAAGCAGAAATAAACAAAAGTTGGGAAGATTCATCGAAAATGTCAGGTTTAAATGTCAAAAACATATACTCTGTGTTTAAATACATTAAGGGTAATTCCCTAAAGAGGAGTAAATAAAACATAAATTGCAAGAATAGGAGTAGAAGTTTTAAATTTCTAAAATGGGAGTAACTCTTCCTATCCTACCCTTGCCATGCTCTAATAGGATTTTTTACATTTATAATAATGAAAGATAAAAAATAAAAATAGAAAAAATAAAAATGTAATAAATAAATAAATAAATATGCAGGCCTAAGCCGCCTTCAAGCACTGTCACATCTGATCGCAGGAAAAATGCCATCTTGATGAGAGTTTGAAAGCAAAATTTGACATTTTCAGAGTTATCAACTAATAATGTCATCTTCATGATATTTTCAGAGAAATGTGGCATTTTTTCCGACAGTCAATGTTGGGAGGCGACAGATGTGATGGTAGAGGCCTACATTTTTTTTAATATTTTGATGTATTTATTCATTTACTTTTTATTTTCTATTTTTTTATTATGTTATTATTATAAATTTATAAATATTTTATTATTTTTAATATTTTATTACAAATTGAACTATCATTTTGTTATTGTGATAGAATAAGTCCTATTGGGATTGTAGGAAGAGGGTAGAATAGTAAGAGGGAGCAAAATTGCTCCTATTTTGGGAATAAAAAGACTTTAGACCTATTTTTGCATTTTGAGGTTATTTAGCCCTGATAAGGACTATTTTAGGGCTACTATCCGAATAAATTGTAACAAATTCAGTTTCTAGTTATTTGCACCCATTAATCATTGAAAACTTTTATATCAATTACATGCAATGTCAAGAAACTTCATGCATATGTCAAACATGCTACAAACTACATGCATTGAAAAAAAGCCAGTCAATTTATTCTGAACAACCTGCACTTTGGTAATAGCATAACATATACGAACATGCTCTAAAATTTGATTACTTATGAATGGATAAATGTCCAAGTGCCCACTGCCCAGGGGTTAGTAGATTAGTTTTGGCGAAAGAAAACTATGTGGCAGGAATAGCAGGGCGCTTATGTGCCGGAATTTGATTTAGACAGGTGAAGTCTGTTGTGGCAAGTGTTGATGGGATCAGCATAATTGATTATGAAGGAATTAAAACTACCCTTCAGTTCTAGCAATGAAATAATTGGTATCTGAACATGCCATTATCTCTTACCATACCTTCACACCCATATGCAAAAAATAACAATGAAATCCAGAACAAAAAGGGATTATACGAGTGGAAATAAATATTACATTTAAATTCCATTAATCTGTAATAATATCATTGCAATTTGCAAGCCTTGTCAGTTGTCAAATTGGGAGCACGTGAAAATGTTCAGGATGCAAGTGAATTTTCATTTATAAAGCCAGTGAGTGAATACTGACCCGATGTCTATGCTTAGCTCCTTTGAAGTAAAGAAGCGTAGGGCGTTTCCGGTTTTCTGATAACTTCAACTTGGGCAGTAAATGGGTGTAAGGAACGATCACATCTTTCAGCAATGAAACTTGAGTGTGATGTATCATATCTGTTGTGCTGTCATTGGCTACTTTTGAGTCAAGCTTGTACCAACCACCAAAATCCACTACAAGGAGAACTGCTGGAGCAATCTCAGCTCTAACATGCCACATTGCAACAGGGTCTGTCAAAGGATACTTCAAGTTTTAACTTTTATGCCAACATCAATATGACAATCAAACACCTAAGTATATGCTGCAAAGAGGTTAAGTTAAAATTCTGAATCACTTCTGAAGATACAATTAGACTTGCAACAGAAAATTAGCCAATGGAACTCGAGAGTTCAGTCAAATAGTAAAAGGATTCATTTGTTTTCCTTTACACCAAGTAGGTGAGACAATCTTGAAGCACCTTAATGATAAGAAATGCAAGCACTCTATAAATCTGTTATTTCCTTTACTCCATGGATTCAGAATACCACTATACATCCGTATAAACGATCCATTAAAAGCTAACACCATTTTCAAGCATGGACTAATGCAGCAACCAAAATAAGATTTTGTAATATTAACTACGCTAAAGGGTTTTCCATCATTTGCAATGGAGCCAAAGACTCACTATTTTTTTGATATGATGGAATAAAGCAAAATGACTCACTAAGCTGTATGCGCTTCTTTGTTATGAAGCGGTAGTCAGTTCAAGGAACTTTCGACGCGATTTCACTACGGGTCATCCGGAAACAATCTCTCTATGCTTTAGTACAGGGGTAAGACTGCGTACATTCGACCCCCCTTACTCCACCGAAGGTGGGAGGCCTTTGCGGCACTGGGGTAATGATGATGATGAACTACGCTAAAGGGTCAAATAGGGCCCCTTGTAAGTGCCATGTTTGCTCAATTCAGTCCCCGGCCAAAAAATGGTCCAATTTGCACTCTGGACTAGTTCAAAAGATTCAAAATTCATTTTTTACTGGTGACATCTGGTCACCCCGTCATCCGTCATGTGCCCTGCGCATTTGACGCATAAAGTAAAAGTTGAAATAGGCCCTTGAACACGTTCAAGTGGTTTAATTCACCCCCTCAAATTGATAAAAGTTTCAACATTGGAATAAATTCAAGATAAAAAATAAAATAAAAATAAAATAGAAAACATTTAGTAGAAATATGTACAGTAAAAATATAAATAAAATATTTATATTTTTTCAGCTAATTCAAAATATGAGTATCAAAATATAAAAAAGATATCCTATCTGTATATTTTTACACTATTATTTTACTCTAAATTTTAGTATTGGAAGTGCCTATTTTTCGGACGGGGTATGGGGGTATGGGGGTGTATATAGGGATGCAAAATGGGCCATATTAGCATTGGAAGTGCCTATTTGTTCAGCCTGGATGCAGGAATCTTAATCGTTAGATTAGCATTGGAAGTGAAAAAGTGGGTATGGGGGTGTCTATGTTTTTACAAATTTTAAATCTAAAGGGTAAAATCAATAGTTAATACTAATGAACAAAAAATATGGGACCATTAAACTCATTAAATTGCTAAAAATTAAAGAGGCCTAAGATTATGCATCTTATGCCTACCTCACTTGATCATTGTCCTATATACCATCCTCCATTTCTTTTTAGTTGCAACATGAAGAATTTAACACTATTTGCATGCTCTACTTTGACCGTTTTCTTTATTAATGTATCATTTTTTTTTTGAAAAATATCGTTGAATTCGTCTCATTTCAAATTTTCATAATCCGATTCTTTTTTTACTATTAGAGAATTAAATATAATCACAGTCAAAGTTCTGCATTGGCAAGCGTGAAAATGAAAATGTTGCAACTAAAAAGAACAAAGGAAGTATACCATATATATATATATAGGTTTTGGATCAAATAAAACCCTTTCTAAACCTGAAAACTGAAAACCGTTCATTTTTATCCATACCCTATATATATATATATATGGTATATATATATGTATATATATATATATATATATATATATATATATATATATATATACTCCCTCCGTCCCAATTTGATTTGCAAAATTTCCTTTTTTGGTTGTCCCAAAATGATTTTCCACTTTCTATTTTAGGTATGTAAATAAGAATAAAGTGACAAATTTACCCTTACTTTTTCTCCATTAACTTAAAGGCAGCTACTTTTAGAAAGATGGGCAAAAGTGTAAAAAGCAAGCATCATTTATTGTAATTTCTTAATCCTTGTGCCGGTCAAAGTTTGCAATTCAATTCGGGACGGAGGGAGTGTGTATATATATATATAAATATATATATATATATATATATATATATATATATATATATATATAGATGAAACTTCATGTCAGGCCGGCCTGACCGGGGCAGCCGGCAGGCCGAGCCCGTTTGAGGGCCTTTCCGGTGGAATTTTTTGATGATTTTTTTTTTGAGCATCTTCTTTATCAAGTCTTGTTTACCCATACCAAATATCAGCTAAAAATTCAATCGGGAAGGCAGTCAAATGATTTTTTGAAAAAATACTGCGCTGTTTATATATATTAACTGCGCAGTGTTCTTAAATAATTTATTTGACTGTCTTCCCGATTGAGTTTTTAGCTGAAATTTGGTATGAGTAAACTCCACCGACTTGATAAAGAACATGCTCAAAAAAATTCATCAAAAAATTCCACCGGCAAGGCCCTCAAAAGGGCTCGGCCGGACGGGGTGTCTTGCTGACAGGAATGCCACTCCCCCCCCCCCCCCCCGCTCTCTCTCTCTATATATATATATACACGGAAAAGATCATGTCCAGCCGAAGGGACAAGATGCTTCGTCCGGCCGCCGCCGTTTGGGGCGGTTCTTGGTGGAATTTTTCGGGAAGCCATTCAAATAAAATTTTGAAAATAACTGTGTTTTATATGTATATTTTGATGCGGTTATCTTCCAAAAATTATTTGTCTGTCTTCCTGAATGAATACTTAGCTGAAATATTTTATGGATAAACTAGACTTGATGGGGAACATGTTAAAAAAAATTATCAAAAAATTCCACCAAGAACCGCCCCAAACGACGGCGGCCAGACGGAGCACCCTGTCCTTCCGTCTGGACAAGATCATTCCTCTCTCTATATGTGTATATATATATACATACATACATACATATATATATATATAAACAATGGTTAGTTCCAACACGGCAACACGTGTGCAGCCAAATTTTCATGCAGTCAGAAAAAATTAACAGTGGCACATTTTATAGAAAAATAACACATGAAACAAATAATAACTTCAACAGCACTGTTGGAATCAGGGAAACACGTCAATTATTATGTTTAACAAAGGTCGGCATTTAGGGCAGTACCAGTGAGAACAAATACATGATCACGGCCTCCTGAGTGATTCCAGGCCTCACTCTGCTTCAGCAAATCCACAACCATTTTCTGCCTTTTGAAGTCCTCATTTCCTATTTTCTTTCGAAATGCTCCTTTATTCAACCCTAATTGCATTTCAGCACTTAATGTTGCAAAAAATGGCACGAAAATCACATCAGCATCTTTGGCATCAAAAACCCTTTCAGCAAAAGATCCTTTTCTCAACTGTGGAGGGGTCATTAAATCTCCCAATATCCAATACTCTGCACTGTACTGTTTGATCAGTGGGTTCTCAGGATACGGACGAAATCTGTCAGAAATCTTAGGCAAAAAGGCCTTTCTAATTTCATTATCTACTTCACTCCCCAGCCTAGTATCCGAGGTTATAGACCAATACTGCTCAAGAAGGCCATAGTTGAGGGATCTGGGGAGGTCTGCAACAAACACTTTAATGGAACTTGTGGTGGTTTGGAGATTTCGAAGGGGTAGTAAAAGAGGAATTGAACTGGAGATTAAAAGGATAAATAGAGTGACAGAGAAGAAGATCGAGAGAGAACAGAACAAAGAACGGATGGAACAGAGAGGTGCAGTAAATGTGGTCTTCAGAACCATTAGCTTGAAACTATTAGAAAATCTTAAGCCTGTAAAGATAACAAATCAAGAAAAAACATACAAACAATTTTTTTAAAATCAAGAAAAAGTAAGAAATTAATTAATCTTCTAGTTATAGTTGGTTCATGTATTATCAGGTGTGTTTGCACTAAGGAAAGCAGTGCCAGACGTTATATTTTGAGCAAATGTTACACCTATTATTTGCAACAAAAACACAATCTTTGAACAATTGAAAACAAAAACAGGTTTAAGGGGCGCAAGCCTCAACCCAACTACCCGAGGCTTAACCCTCAATGCGTTAAAGTGCGCCACAAAAACACTATTTTAAAACAATGGTCAGAGCATCAATACACACACAGAGACATATATACATATACGCACACACGCGTTCATATATAAATAAACTAATCTGTTTTTGGTTAAGTTTTGTAGCATCTTAAATTCACTACTCTGCTAATGTTTTTTACACATAAAACCATGTAACAATGATGGAAATTAACTTATATTATCTTGATACCAGATTCATCTGCTAAACATGACAATAAGATGTTTAAATCCGATAGTTGGACACCAAGAGATATGAATTATTCAATTAATATTAATATTAATATAATATAAGCATGAATACATTAAGAACAATTACCTAGCTAACATCTCTGGCGGGCATGAGAGCTTGGGCGACGCAGAGGGGAAGCCAGATCGATGAACCCCTTCATCGGCTCGGAATAGGAGACATCTGGCGGGCCAGGGCAACGCCCGATTAGTAATCAGAGAGACGGCTTCCACCCCGGAGGGAATCGGCTACTTGGGCGGAGCGGGGGTGGTTCAATGACTGGAATCGTCTGGAACCGCTCGGTGGTTTCCATTATTATTTTAATTTAATTTAGGGGGAATAGAATTGATTTTACTCATTAAATCAATAATGTAAATATATAAAACTTTGATAGGATGTTAGATAAATACTCTACATATGTAATATATATATATATATACACACCCTAAACTTTATCTAAATAAGTTATTTAATATCATGATTATGTTTTTTACAAATATAAATATATTGGAATAATTACATAATTTAAAATATTCTAAGATTCGTTAGGATGCGATTAACATTCTAAAATTTTATTTGTGAAATAAATAATATTACTTCCGGTACAATTTGTTTTTAATTGTATCCTCATAAATGTTTTTTTTTATATTATGCACTTAAATTAACACCAGAAATTACATTTGTGAAAAAACATATGATCATGTGCTAACATAACTTTTTACATAAAGTTTGGGATATATATTACAAGTGCAAGTTTGGTGCTTATCTCACGCCCCTTCAAAGTTTGAAAATATTTAAATTATTTTTCCCTTTTTAAAAACATACTTCTGCACTTCCATTATTTCCAATATCATAAAGCTATATTACACTCTTGGGGCTCGACCGGTAGGGTTAGTTTCTCCGATCTCGGTTCTCGGCCGGGAATCGGGTATCGCTTAGCAAGGGAGAAGTTTCGGACGAAGCACAGGGCGGCGACTTCAGACGAAGTGCAAGCAGTTTCAACGAGGTTTTGAGCGAGGATTTTCGGTTCGGCCGAAGAAGTTTTCGCATGGAGGATATAGTGGCTTCATATAGGAAGATGTCGATGAAGGAGCAGGATTCAGAGCTTAATTTTGACGAGGAGCCAGAGGACGGCAGCGAGGAGGAGAAGGAACCGGCGACTTTTCCAGTGGTTGGGGTTGTCATCACGGACCGCAAGGTCAAATTACCTGGATTTAAAGAGCTGATGACCTGTATCTGGAAGTCAGGGAAAGGTATGTCTATCAAAGAGATCGGCGAAAGAAGGTATTTGCTAAACTTTAATCATGTTTTGGATATGAACCGTGTGATATAGGATGGTCCTTGGCTTTTTGAGCAAGATTTAATTTTGCTAAAGGTTGTGCAACCAAATGATATACCGAAATCCATGAACTTGTTTGAGGCTAGCTTTTGGGTACAGGTTCATAATGCTCCTATTAAGTATAGGAATTTAAGATCTGCCAGGAAAATTGGTAAACTTTTAAGCACTTTTATTAAATTTGAGATGTGCCACTTTGATGGAAAGCAGAGTTCTTATCTGCGAATACGAGTGTGTTTGGATGTCCGTCAACCTTTGAAAAAAGGTACCAATTTAACACAGGATGGGGTGAAACATTGGGTTGATTTTAAATATGAAAAACTACCCAGTTTTTGCTTTATTTGTGGTATTATTGGGCATTCTGACAAGTTCTGTCCATCGAAGTACGAAGAGGACTTTGTAGCTGAAAAAATATATGGGGTGGAACTTAGAGCCGGAGGAAGGGTGAAGACTAGCCCGAAAGGATTTAATAAATGGTTATCTGACGGAGCCTCTAGCTCAGATGGATTTGGAGGTCCGAGGAAGACTGATCTCGGGGTAGAGAATACGGCTGAGTCCAAGACTAGCAAGCCATCACTGCATGAGAGTGAAGACAGGGAAGTGACTCCTGGAGATCCTAAGCGTAGAAGGATATGAGATGACCAGACTAAAGAGGGTGTAGATGGCGGAGGAATGACTCTGGATGGGCCAAAAAATGGGGAGGGGGCGGGTCAGGTCTCCTAGACTCGCCTTATCTGTGTTGGACGGTGGGGGAGGAAAAATTACAATGGTGCTTTTATTATTGTCTTTGTTTACTTTAACTTAGGTTGCTTTATTATGTTTTGCTTTTGTTATTTCATGCCTTGTAAGACTCTTGCATTAAGGTTGGGGGAGGGAAAGTCTGCGGTAACCGACATTCGCTTTAAGTTGCCCAATTTTGATCTAGCGAGTTATACTGTTTTTTTTTTACAGGTGGTTAGCTCTCAGTCTCGGCCACGGGGGGATGATTATTTGTGGCTCTTTTCTAGTTTTGTACCCTTGCTGAATGCTATTTTTATGAATTAAGCCTTCTTCGAGCAAAAAAAAAAAGAATCGAAGAAATTAGTCTCCTCCATCTTCTAAAAAACTACTTCTATGAGTAATTTGGAGCACCCATAAGTACTTTTGTGGTTTCACTCAAACACCACATTATTTGTTTTTGCTTCCTAAGGAAGAAATGGTTTTCAGAAAAGTGGTGTGTAGGGAAAAACAAAAAAGAGGAAAAAGATAGAAGTAAAGTGTACAAAGTGTGTATGATAATGTCTACACATAAAATTTGTGAGATAAAAATGGGACCCAAGTGTAAGATTGTGCAAGAGAACTAGACATCTACATCGGAGATGCTCTTTGAGGAGAGAGCTTAGAGCATGCGAGGAGATTTCGAAATCACGGCCTGGATGCTGGAAACCTTACCTACAACAAGTCCGGTTCGCGATTTGCGATTAAATCGGAACTGCCCGTTTTTGAACTGCAACCCAAAATCGTAATTGGAAACTGGAGGTTTACTAATCCGTTTTGGTTTTCCTAAAAATTGGAACCAAAACCAAATCGGATGGGTTCGGTTCGAATCCTTTTTTAGAGATTCGAAACCCCATTTTAATTAATTATTTAATAATAATGAAATTAATAATATTAATAATGCTAATAATTATATTAATAATAATAATAGTATTAGTTGTACTAATATTAGAAATAACAATTATAAGAGTTACTAGATAATACTCGTGAGCTATTATTATACTAATTAAAATAGTTTTTATTAAAATTATTAGTAATAAGCATTCATAATTTATTGATAACTAAGTTATTTTAAAATAATAAAGTGTAGGATTTTACAATTTAATTTATAGCTATAACTAGCTAGTAACTATCTTATTATTGTACTTAGTTTTAACAATGAGAGATATTTATTCTTGTAATAAATTTTTGAGAACTCTTTTAATAATTTATTTAAAAAACGTAAGCCTTAATATTTTAAAAAATATATAAAAGATCACAAGCGGAAAACCGAATCGAACTGGGTTAGAGCCGGAACTACCAATTTAGAATAGATATTGCGTGATTCCGGTTCCTAAAAGTTCGTACCGCAAATTGGGTGGTTCAATTCAGTTCCGGTTTTGGTTTGGTTCCGAACCAGGGACACCTCTACCTATGACTAGGCACTTTGGGTATCCTCCAAGGCATGAGGCAAAACTGGGAATTTTTATCAAAATATTTCTTTTCAAACTGTTTTTAGCAAACTGCGTCTTTTCATTTTTTACTAGAAACTGCTTATATAAAGATAAAAATGGCCAAATGCCTAGCAACCAAACCTTCTATACCCCTCTCTTAACCCAGACAAGATATAGCCAAAAGGCTCATCCACTCTCTGATCAGACATAGAATAACATGCCCAATGATGAGCAAGACTTATCGCTGACCATACAAGATATTCAAAGCTAGAATCAGCTACAAAATCCAGCTTTCTTTCTACGCTTCTAACAACCATACACACAAACACAAAATAATCCATGTCCTCTAGTGACACCACAAAACAAAAAACAACATACCAGAGCATAAAACTGAAACGGGAAACAATAAAGACAATCCTCTCTCTCCCTGATGAGCAAGCAGGTAACTCAATCTTGTGACCAAGGGGTACACTGAACTGTAGCCCGCATTCTTCCCATTTTTGCACGGTCTTGCTCCACTGTCATATCCTTATCTCTGCTATCATCTCCTTCTCCTTCTATGCGCCTATATTTTTTGTCTATTTTGTCTCCTATGGGCTTTGGGTCGCCTGCAGCTCAGTTCAGTCCACCTCCATGCTCCTCTGCACCATAGCTGCCTGAATTCTCTGTGTCATGTTCCTTGCTTTGTCCTCCCCCAGTTGGAAGTAGCCATTTATTACCTTCACTCTGAATCCTACCATATGTAGCTATGAGCCAAGTTTCAAATAACCTGGCACTCCCCTCCAAATTACCCTTGATTTGCAAGGACAGGAACTCTCTGCATGCCCAATTATTCTACACAGAAAGCAGAAACTAGATTTTAGATAAGCCTCGAAGGTGTTCATCCTGCTTCCCACCAAGTTCAACCATCATGAAGGTCAATCATCCTACCATTTCAATGATTTTAGATAAGCCTAAACCTCTCAGTTGGGTTACGTTGAACTGAGGCCGGAAAGTTCAAATGAAGTTTCTGATGAAGTTCACCGCTTGTTTGTTCGAGTGTTCGACAGTTTCAAAGAAGGAATTTTTATGAGAATACCCCTATTCAAACTTATTTTAGTAAATTGCCTTTTTTCTTTTTTAAATAATAGAAACATGTAAAATTACATAAACCCCAATATCATATGACGTCGTTTGGTTTAAAAGAGGGAGAATTTGGATACCACCTTCAACCCGTCCAATGCCTTCGCTCAAAGATCTGAACGCAGTACCCTTGTCTATTCAGACCCATAAGTCCTCCTCTTCATTTGATTAATACTTTCGAACTCAGCTTCCTTTTCAAAATGTTCATCCCGCTTCCAAGCTAAGTGTGGATGTAATATATTAATATATTATTGTATTAATATATTATTTACAATTCATAGTCATTATATAGTCCAATTGCATTTGTAGTTGTTTGACTGTGTGCGGTTGCGGCCGCCAACTGAACAATTGTGCTTCTTATTATACTTTTTGAGGGTGAATCTTTGAGTTTATTACCATTATTGTTTGCAAAATCCACTTACAATTAACCCCTCTGCTATTTAGCACATATCTCAATCTACATATCACTCTTCACCGTTGTGATTTCATAAATCCCATTTATAGCAACTTCTCTCAATTTATTCTTTAAGTTCTCCCTACTATCAAACTCAAATTCAATGGACAAATTTGAGTCATCTATCGTCAAAAGTTCCATTAGTCCCAACATCAATCTGAAGAGGATATACTTTCACACTTACATACACCATTGTAGTATTTGCAATGGTATTCGGGACATCACTTTCTCTTGCAGGAGTAAGACTAGAGTTATGAGTAAGAGGCGCATGGTTAGGTACAATGAACTTTTGAGT